TAAATATGTGCATCACTCACTAACACATAATAAATTAGTGATGGTGTGGATTAAAATGTATTTTTGTTATATAATTATAAACGATATAAAGTTTGAATAATGTGAAAAACTGATACTCAAATCAGATTTTTTTTCTGTTCGTTTTGAAAATCTGTTTTGACAGAAATCTGTATGTCATGTACATCTCCAAATGTTTAAGTAATTTGCTATCTATTCTATAGCTATACAGCTGTGCACTAACTGGAATTTGTGGAGATGTGAAAAGGGAAATTTTATGCCAAAATAGCCTAGTGTGTAAAATTGACAAGTGAGACATTTTGATTTTGATCACAGTGTCTATATATTTGTATATGCGCTTTTGGCATTTAGAGGATAATACACGAAATCTGATTTTATATTCTGCATTATCTTTTCTGAGAATTACGCTGCAAGATCTGGTGAAGAAGGTGTTGTGCAAATCTAAAACCACAGAGGCTTTAGTGTTCAATAGCATAATTAGCATAATTATGCTTTCAATAGCATAACTAGCAGATAATTTTGTTCAGTAGTGGTTCCAAAGTGAGGGCAAACAGCATAGATGACAGATGATACCACTGTTGTGTCAGTTTACAAATGTGAACCTGGTGGAATTGCGTCCCATTGATTCTGAGGCAAGCATTGGAGTTATTGTTAAAGGCCCAAAGAGGTTCCAAGCCCAGAATTGCCAATGTTTGAAAGAGGAAGTCCCAATCCACTCGGTCAATGCTTTCTCTGAGTTAGTCGACAGGAGCAGAAGCAGGACCCCTCACACCATGAACTAGGTTCAAGGTTCCTAGCTTCCCTGACAGGGACAAACCCAAACTGGTAAAAATTGATTCATGTTGCAAGGTCTGGTGATATCCTCACCACACGGATCCTCGAGAACTTCAGGTCATCATTTAACACCGAAATTAGTCTATACTTGGCACAATGCGATCTGTCCAAATATTTGAATTGTATACAGATGTCTGCTTCGCTTTACTACTCCACCCTCCCCCACTGACTTGCCCCACCTAGCTGTAAATTAATTCAAATAACTGTATCTCTATTCCTTAGTCCCAATATCACAAACCATCTGAAACAAATCCACTTAATTTCTACTCTATCCACCTTTTATCCTTTTTCCGGCCACCCTAGTTCCTTCTAACTATAAATCATGCTCTTCCAACTGTTTGGAATCACAGTCCATAACCTCCTCATCCCCTTCACACGTTATCAGTTACTGCAATTATACTATTAATTCTCTCTGTCATCACCTCCAAATTCCTCTGCCACCTCTTGTCTCATCTTCCCATTTTAACCTTTAGAGTTTAACCCCTTAAGGACCAAACTTCTGGAATAAAAGGGAATCATGACATGTCACACATGTCATGTGTCCTTAAGGGGTTAAGCTCACGGCAGGCCCCTCTACATTTTTTTATTGGTCTGTTTATATTGCATTTTCTAAAACCACAGAGGCTTTTCCCAATTGTACAGTGCTGTGGAATATGTTGTCACTTTATAATTGCAAGTAATAAATAAAAATAAAAACATTTGCAAAGCTCATTTTACCCAAGATAACTAATCACTTACATAACGGATGCCACATAGGGTGTATACTTAAATTCACTTAAAGGACCACTATAGGCATCCAGACCACTTCAGCTCAATGAAGTGGTCTGGGAGCCTGGTCCATCTAGGGTTAACCCTGCCTGCTGTTAACATAGCAGTTTTAGAGAAACTGCTATATTTACATTTGGGTTAATCCAGCCTCTAGTGGCTGTCTCATTGACAGTCGCTAGAGGCGCTTCCGCGCTGCTCACTGTCATTTTCACAATGAGAAGACACCAGCGTCCATGTTAAAGCATTGAGAATGCTTTCCAATGGACTGACTGAAGGCGCGTGCGGCTCTTGCCGCGCATGCGTATTCAGCCAATGACGTCGGAAGGAGGAGGAGAGTCCCCAGCACCAAGGGAGCCCGGCACTGGAGAAATGTAAGCCTTTAACCCCTTTCTCCCCCTTTAGCACAGCGGGAGGGTGGCTATGAGAGTGGGGGGGGGACCTATTAATACTACAAGTTTGTTTTCCTGGCACTATAGTGGTCCTTTAAGTGTTTCATGGCCGCTGATGCCATTGCACTTTCTAACTGTTTCTCCTCTCAAGTGATAGTTTAAATCAGGGGTTAAGTAATGTTCTTGTTGGGGTAAGTCTCCCCATAATAATGGGGGCAAAGTATAAGATGATCATAACGCCTTCAGCACTGGTATAATAAATGTCTACTTCAAATGTCCTTAAAGTTTTTATGCCATGGTAAAAACAAGCTGGCTTTCAATTAAAGAGCTCTTTAAACCAAAGGGTATTACATTTTATCTACAATCTAGTTTAACGCTCTGCAATCTAGTTTAATGCTCTCCACCTGCATGGCAGTCTTGATATAGACTGTCTATGCCAGTGGCATAGAGGTCTATGGTAAGTATTAAGTAACAGAGGAGAACTGTTGAACCCTGCCCTAAGTGGTCCTCTACCTCTTCGGCATGTATTTCCCCTCCATTAAGCATTCCTCTTTGTGTTGGAGGAGTATAGGAAGCTCAGATACCAATGTACTAATAGTGAAGTTAGCATGTTGCAGTAATTAGATAGGCTTGCCCTGGAAGTGCCTCAAAACAGGACCATTTGCATCTGAAAAGGGGCAGGTCTGGAGTTTTAGAACAGTGTAACACCCACAGATCAATATCAGCACTGGAACAATGGGCAATGGGTAAATAAGTTCATAACATTGCTCCCAAAGCAATCTAATATATATATATATATATATATATATATATATATATATATATATATATATATATATATATTATCTTGATACTTTTTTTTGTTTTGAGATATATTAAATGTTTAATTGAATATGTCATGCATTATTTACTTTAAGAAAATATCCTTAAAGGGACACTTCAGGCACCCAGACCACTTCTGCCCATTGGAGTGGTCTGGGTGCCAACTCCCACTACTCTTAACCCTGCAAGTGTAATTATTGCAGTTTTTTATAAACTGCAATAATTACCTTGCAGGGTTAACTCCACCTCTAGTGTCTGTCTACCAGACAGCCACTAGAGGGCACTTCCTGGTTCCTACCACAGGAAACCTGTGCTAGAGTGTCACTGGACGTCCTCACGCTGTGTGAGGACCTCCAGGGTCGCTCATTTCCCCATAGGAAAGCATTGAAATGCATTTTCAATGCTTTCCTATGGGGAGCGCTAATGCGCACGCGGTCTCCCCGGCTGGTGGGCAGGATCAGTCTCGCCCACCGGCCGACGCAGTCAGAAGGAGGAGCAGCGCAGAAGGAGGAGCAGCGACGAGGGACATCGTCGCTGCCTCAGGTAAGTTACTGAAGGGGCTTTCACCCCTTCAGCAACCGGGGATTGGGGGGTGGGAGGGAGAGGGAACCTGTAGTGCCAGGAAAACGGATTGTTTTCCTGGCACTGGAGTTTCCCTTTAAGAGAATGATAATCAGTGAATTCTTAAGTTAGTGTAAGAATCCTTGAATTAGATTTTGCACTATAACTTGTCGTCTAATCGAGGCTACAGTGCAGTCTCCGTACAAGCCTACCAAATGTTTTCATATCTATGACGCAAATATATTTTTACAGAATGATAAGTTGACCTATATCAGGGCAATTCATGCTCAGTTCATCTCCACCTGTATCATTCATTTTGAAAAATAATATTTAAAGACTTAACATTCAGAAATATTATTTTTAGGCAATGATACAGAGTTATTAATTAAAAAAGATATACTCCAAAATATTCACGGATGATCAGCTGACACGAATCTTGAAATATTGTATCTGATAAAACATAGGTCTTGAAAAAAGACAATATTTATTTTAACTTGTGTAACATTATGTATAGAAAGTCTCCTCTTGTGTGGGTTGTTTAATCCCTTAGCGTGCATCCAAATAAATGTCAGTGACACACAACAGTTAAAAGAAAATCTGTGCCGTCGTGCACTATCTACTAATAAAACGGTATATGTAACTGCTCAAATGCCTGATTAAGTACAGAGTATATTATGTTCCTCACAAATTCACATAACTATATGATGAAATCTTACAGTTTCAATTATCCAAAGTTTTTATGTGATGTCCTTGGGTCAATGTAGAACAGGAAACGGATAAGAAATTATAGAGCAAGAATGAAAATAGAAGAAGAAGTGGGAAACTTTACAGAAACAAATTCAAGCATGTCTTTAGCTTGGAGCCCATGCACGAAGATCGATTTTACATCTTACCTTGGCCAGGAGTGGCATATGCACAAAAAACAAAACAAAACAAAAAAACAACTCCCCCCCCACACACACACACACACACAACATAACAATCACATAATAGTGCAATATAATGATCACTAACCAAAAACATTTGCAAGATATCACAACCAAGTTACAAAATGTATAGTGTTTTTTTTTATTGTTTCATTATTAGAATTTATATTAAGTAATCCTTTGATGTGGTAGTTGAGATAAAAGTGACAGAATATGGGGGCGTGGCCTGACACCGAGCTGCATGGACGCATCCTAACGGAGCTCCTGCTACCGGGCGAACTAGGGCTAAAATAATCGGGCTGCAAAAAGAACACACAAGATTTCAATCTTAAGCTACCACTCCCGAGCCTGCAGGGATGTCACACAGGCAAAAAAATAAAGCTGCAAAGGCAGATCGCGCCTCCTTTTTCTTGGCCAAGTCGGCGACACCACACGCACGCGAAGGCCGCAGCCCAGATGCAGATGGCGGTGCCGCTCGCTCCGAGGAGGATCCACCTTTATCCCCATTGTCCTCAGATACAGGACCGGAGGACAGCCCGCCTACAACTCAGCAATTGAAAAAAATGCTGTCGGAACTTACTGACACCATTCAGAAGAACATGGCGACGCAGATACAAACCCTCACCGCAGATCTCAGGAAGGAGATTATAGAGGTGAGCCAGCGTACTGCTCAGAGAAGAGGATGGATGATTTCGCTGAAGCGCATAACGGTCTCGCGGACAAGCTGCATGAATTGGACACCGTCCTGCACGACCATGCGGTCAAAATGGCCGACATGGAGGACAGATCAAGACGCAATAACTTGCGTATCCGCGGTATACCGGAGTCAGTGCTCAACCCTGCACTTCCCGACTACCTGTTAGACCTCTTCCAAGCACTGTCACCGGAGACGCACCCGGATCAGCTTATCATCGACCGAGCACACAGGTTGAGAAGACCGAAACACCTCCCTAACTCCACCGCGAGGGACGTGATAGTCCGTGTACACTTTTACCATGCCAAGGAGAGGCTAGTTCGAGCATCCCGCACACCAGGCATGCCAGATCCCTACAAGGACTTAAAAATCTTCACGGACCTGTCGGCGGCAACCCTCCAATTTCGGAAAAGCCTGACTCCCCTCACAACAACGCTACGAGCGAAAGGAATTATGTACCGATGGGGATACCCAGCAAAATTGCTCATCCAGTACCAGGACTCACTGCACGCCGTAAGTTCGCTGCCGGCTGGCAAAGAAAAATTTAAGATGTGGGGCCTCCCGGTTGCCACTACAGACGACCATAACAAGGCAAAGATACCTCGGATGTCCCCTGAGTGGACCCCGGCCTGAACAAGACCACTCTGCGAGACCTGCCTCTTCTCCTGCGGAGAGAGTGTTAAGTATGCCTAACACTTACTGCGGCACACAGCGCAGTCACTAAGACCTATGAACTGTTGATGACCAAATGTTACTAAAGGCTATGTTCTTACTTTTAGTGTATTACAAGTTAAAAAAAAAAAAAAAATGCCTGCGGCACGAGAAAGCCTCAGCATACTATCTCTTTAAGCCATTCCAAGCCCTAAGAGCCACATATGAGCCACGACAACATCAGGCTCACTTAATGTACCCCCTACATTGCAGCCAAGATCAGCTTGGCGTGCTCCAGCTCTCTTGTGTAGAGCTTAATCAGGGTTTATTCCCCCTTCCCCACTCCCAGTTTATTCTCTCCCTAGTTCCCTCTTTCCCTGACCTATCCAGGTTTTCTTTAGCAGCCTGTAATATCATACTAGACGCAAAAGCCCGTATAAGCAGTACAGTACGACTTGACAGGTCTGATCGTGTAGCTAGGTTTGAGAAATATTTGCTAGATGGTTATTGCTGCAACATAGGAAAAGATGCTGTTGTTATGCTAACACCGGCTCACCTCCACGCACCAGATGTCATATGCAAAACTGATCCCTGATTATCATAAGAGTAGTAACGTATAATGTGAAGGGGTTGAATACCCCTGGGAAAAGATGTTTACTGTATAAAGAATTGATAAAAGCTAAGATTGACATTGCATGTATTCAAGAGACCCACTTTAAGAAAGGCTATACACCAAAGATCTTTACTAAACACTTCCCGTTACAATACCATGCACTCTCAGTAAACAAAACAAAGGGTGTATCTATCCTAATACACAAAGATATCGCATTCACCAGCCAGAGGCAATACATAGATCCCCAAGGTAGATTCATAATCCTACAGTGTCTCATTAACGCAATCCACTACACACTGGTCACGGCATACTTCCCCAATGAGAACTCCAATCAATACCTAAAGTCCCTGCTAACGAAAATAGACCAATATCGCCTAGGCAATTTATTACTATGTGGCGACTTTAACTTCACTCAATCACCCCTAGATAGAACAACCCAGGGAGGCACCAAAACTAGATTGTCGCACGATAAGTCCCACAAAATCATCAACAAAACACTCTCATTACATGACCTCTATGATGTATGGAGAACTCTTAGCCCTGAAACAAGAGATTATACTTTTTATTCAAGGGTACACAATTCGTACTCTCGAATTGATGGGTTTTTTGTTGATAGAGTTACCTTGCCCCTGGTAGCAGATTGCAGGATTGGGGAGATTACGTGGTCAGACCACAGCCCGGTCACCCTGGTACTGAAGGATGAATTCCAATTCACAGGGAAAGGCACTTGGAGGTTGAATGACTCCCTATTAAATGATGAGAAATTTACCGCTAACATTAAAGAGGAGCTTATAACCTACTTTAACCTAAACAATGTTCAAGAGACCACGGCAGCCACGGTCTGGTCCGCGCATAAGGCAGTACTTAGAGGCCTGTTTCTTAAACAAGCTTCGCACATTAAAAGGACCCAAGACTCGGCAATGTTGGAATGCCACACTAAAATAGCACAACTTTCTGCTTTAAATAAGACCCAGCCCTCAGTAGAAACAGGGATACAACTCTCCCTGCAGTATGACAAACTAAGAGACTTGACGGCAGACAAAACTAGGAGGCTGCTCCATAAATTAAAAGCTACCGCCTACCACCATAGCGGTAAAGCCACTAAATTGTTAGCAGCAAGATTACGAGACAAATGCAACACAAAAAAGATCGCACATCTTATAAATGATAGGGGTCAGAAAATACTAAATCCCAGCGACATATCGCAAGCCTTTGCAAGATTTTATGCCAAACTATATAACCTGCACCTCACGACAGGTATAAACAACCCAACGGAAGACAGCATTTCGAAATATCTTAGCCAGATACACTTGCCACGAGTCACACTAGAACAAGCTATAACGCTCCAACAACCCATAACCTTGGCAGAAGTTAGCGCAGCTATCAAATCTCTGCCTCTAGCTAAATCCCCGGGAGCTGATGGTTTTACTAATGCCTACTATAAGAAATTTGCAGACACACTAGCGCCCCACCTGTTGCGAGTGTACCAACAAGCCTCCGCAACGGGCTCCCTCCCTCCGGAGATGCTTATGGCCACAATTATCACCATTCCAAAACCTGGCAAACCTGCAAATGAATGTAAAAACTTTCGCCAAATCTCCCTCCTCAATACAGATGCCAAACTCTACGCTAAAATTAAAGCAAATAGGCTGAGCGGACTTCTGCCAGAATTGATTTGTGACGATCAAACAGGGTTCGTCAGAGGGAGACAGGGCTCGGACAATACATACAAACTGATGCACACCCTGGAGCAGCTCCGGAGGCCTGGCCGAGGGGGTCTGCTTTTAGCCTTGGATGCGGAGAAGGCATTTGACCGCCTTGGCTGGGCCTTCTTGAGACAAGTTCTAGAGAAATACGGTTTCCCCCATCAGACCATCACACAAATTTTCGCACTATACTCGGCTCCGAAAGCTAGAGTTCTGCAAGCCGGGTTCCTATCGGACCCTTTCGATTTATCTAATGGGACCAGACAGGGATGCCCTCTGTCCCCATTGTTATGTTTTAGCCCTGGAACCACTTCTGGTCGCAATTAGATCCCACCCCAATATTACTGGAATTCTGGTCGGATCTAGAGAAGTTAAGATAAGTGCCTTCGCAGATGACATCCTCCTCTATATGACCCAACCAATGGAGTCTCTGCCCCATGTCATGTCCCTCATTCACGAATATGGATCACAATCCTACTATTCTCTCAATACCTCTAAAACTCAAGCACTTAGCATAGGCGTTCCTGAAAGTGAAATGATAGTCCTCAGAGGGTCGTACCCCTTTGATTGGAGGAAATATGACATTACATACCTGGGACTATTGTTCTCTAAAAAGCATACAGAGCTCTACACGGGCAACCATGTTAAAACGTGGAGAGAATGTGCCCTACAACTAAAAAAATGGTCACCTCTCTATCTAACATGGACTGAAAGAATAGTGGCAGTAAAGATGTCGATACTTCCTAAACTGCAATATATTTTTAGAACGCTCCCGATTCCCGTCCCACACTCCTTTTTTAAACTGGTACAAAAGGAGGTAGACAACTTTATTTGGGCAGGGTCTAGACCGAGGGTAGCCAGGAATCTTTTACATGCTCCTAAAAAGTCAGGTGGACTGGGACTACCAGATGTGAAGGCCTACTACCATGCATCCATACTAGCCACCTTACTTCCCCACCACATGGGTAAAAAGCCCCCTCAATGGGTGGAGATAGAGAGAAACCTGCTGAAGCCCTTCACACTGCCTAACATATTGTGGATACCAAAAGTATACCGCCCGACCCTACCACATCCATCCGACCTCCTCGCCCTCAAACTACAAATATGGGACAAAAGTAGGGCGACACTCTGCTCCCCAACTAAACTTTCACCAGCTACACCAGTGGCGGCCCTCCCGTATTGTATACCGACCTTTCATGCCAATCCTTGGATAGACAACAAACTAACACACCTCTATCATATTCTCCAACACGGGACATTAAAAGACTTCTCCACACTGAGACACACACATAAACTTCCTGTAACCTCACAATTCTCATACATACAACTGAGATCGTTCCTCTACAGGTCAACTAGTGCTGACAGGGTATTGCAATCTGATATGGGACAACCCACGGTGTGGGAACAAGTCTGTATAAACGGGTCATTACCACTCGCATGTAAACCGACCTCCATGTGTTACCGACTCATCGCTAACTCTATTCCATTCCCTGATACTAATGTAGCACAACAATGGAATACAGATCTGGGAGAGCCTATCTCCCCCACACAATGGAATATCTTATTCCAAGACATAAACCAGCTACTCACATCCACTTCCCTAGTGGAGCAACAACGCAAGGGTGTTTATAGATGGTACATGGTACCTACTCGGATTAATAAATTCTACCCAAATAGCTCTCCCAACTGCTGGAGATGTGGATTAGCAAGAGGAGATGTCCTCCATATTTGGTGGCAGTGCCCAGAGCTTAAACAGTTCTGGACGGAAGTCCATACGCTCCTGCAAGACTTGATTGGCATTAATATGCAATTTACGCCCCAAGTCTATATAACACTAATTCTTCCGAGCGGAACCCCCAGAGCCGAGAGGAAGCTTATATATCACGTTCTCCTCTCAGCTCACAGAGAGATCGCAAGATCATGGAAATCTAAACAATGTCCACCCTTCGCCAGAGTACTAGCCGCTCTGATAGAACAAAGAGCATATGAAGGAGCATACACCAAATTGTGGCCCCCATCCCATACCTCCGCAAAGGCATGGGAGATCTGGGACACATGGAGATCGGATCGCCTGGATTAATCCCAAAGGGAGCAATCTGTAGAGCTGTGTTTAGAATATGGGTCGAGTCGACCCCGGACCTTAGAGAGTACAAGCTTATATTGAATACCCATACCCACCCTGTCTCGGCTAACTGTTCTGTACCGTATGACTATGTAATATACTATGTAATATACTATGTGACAATTATAATACTTGCTGCTTTCCCCCCCCCCCTTCCTTCTTCTCTTCTGTATCCCCCGACTAATGTCGGGATTATGACAAAATATTAATAAAAATTGTCAAATTTAAAAAAAAAAAAAAAAGTGACAGAATATTACTAACATTCTAAATAACTTAGTCTCATCTTCAACTATATAATGCAAAATAATAATTAACTGTGAGGTATATATTGTCCCCTAGTAAGCAAATTCATATAAAATATATCCAAATTTGAAACAAAATATTTGAAATACTTATAACTTGAAATGAAGGATACATTCAATTACTTGGGGGCTATGTTACCTAAAAAAGTAGATATGAAAGTTACTGATATCACTATGAAAAAATGAGGCAGTGTTATAGCAAATTGGTTAGATAGAATTAACATTATAAATGTGTATATTCTCCCAATATGGACTTACTTTTTAAAAATGGTTCCCTTAAGAATACCAGAGTGTTGGTTAGATCTCATTCAAAGAAGTCTTAGAAATTATATATGGAAGGGGAAAAAGCCTCGGATAGGACTAAAGTGCCTAGGTAATAGGGTGTATCAAAGAGGAGTACATTTTCATATTATAAGAAAACACTTTGAAGCCAGTAGGATATACCATGTGAATTTGTTAACAAAAAAACATTGAGTAAATAAGGGTGGTACAGTGGAAAAATATTATTTACCAAAGATGGAGGGTATGGGCTGGATAAACAACTCCTCCTTCAAAAACAATAAGATACAAGAAAAAATGTCTCCAGAAAGCATTAGCACTCTTATAATATACTCATAACATATAATATACTCATAATATACTCATATATTATTACTTAAATTTAAATCAGAGAACTGAACACTCTTTGAGAAGCCACATTAGAAAGGGATAATCCTCTCAGATTTATATGTAATTGTTAAGTATGTGTTTTGTCTAATTATTATGTATGATGGAGGATGTACTTTTTGTAATTGTTTGTATAATTTTGTAAAACAAAATAAAAAACTATAAAAAAAAAAAAAAAATATCCAAACAAAAGTATGTCATTTTTTTTAAATTCTTTATTTATTTCATTTTTGATGAATTAAGGGTAAGAGTTACATAAAAGAAGGGAGGTATCACAAAAATACAATCATACATTTTCATTGTAGAGATGTTTTTTACAGGTGATACACAATGTGATGAAATTTCGTACAGGTTAATATTTGTTAAGGTGCACAAGTCGTGGAGGACACGTAACCATTTGTCCTTCTGGTAGACCTGGTGCAGGTGTTCCTGTAGGGTAATTCTTTTGAGTCTGTCCTACAGGGTTCTGTGCCATGAGTGTAGTTGTGGGCTTTTGTGGTCTGTGCTTTGGGTTTCCTGTGCTTGATCATCCACTCGTCGTGTGTATCAGAGGGGTGTTTTGGGTGAAGATAAACTGGGGCAGTATTGTAACTTGGGGTTTGTGGTCTGTACAAGGTACCGAGTTGTTGGGTGTGTGTGCTGTGGGTTGTGTGGTAGTGTGTGTTTTTCATTGTGTATAATAGTCTCACAGGTGTGAGGTTAATTTCTAATAAGTCGTTATCATGGGGTTTTGCGGGTGTCTGGTGGGGGGTAGGTAATGGGCTTTTTAGGGTATGTCTTCGGTGCCGCCTTCGGTTTGTTAGCAGTGGGGTCCCTTTGTGGTAGGGCAGTATGTCCGTCTTCGTAGATAGGATGGGCACGATTCCGTTCCTCACTTGGTAACCGGCGGAAGGGCCCGCACCTAGAGGTCTGGGTATATGAGTCCATCTCGTTGGTGGGGTGGGGGGTCGTCCCCTCTATCCCTGTAAGTGTTTCTAGGGTCTGTTCACGGGTGGGGGGAAGAGAAAGGGTGTGGTGGTTGTCTGTGGGAATGGGTTATGTGAAGAGGCGTTAGCATGGGGTCTATAGGTGTGAGGGTTTAAAAAAAAAAAAAAAAGGAGTTCCGACGGGTGGGAACATCTACTTCCCCAAAGAGCCTAGGGTGCCAGTGTGGTCCCAATGAGCAATGGGTCCCGTATCTTGTGGTAGGATTTTGTGGTGTCATGGGCGAGGGCTGACAGTTTGTCCATTTCCATCGTTTCGTTAACTTTTTTTTATTACCTCTGGGATGGATGGGAGTGAGTTGCTTCCCAAATGTTGGGCTATGGTTCTTCGAGTGCTGACAATTTGTTTTGGACCCTAGTGAGTGAGTCATGGGGTTTCGACAAGAGCCAAATCCAGGTGTCAAGTGGGAGGTCGCTGTGTAGTATTCTGTTGACTGTGTGGGCTATGTTGCGCCATAGTCGAGCTATTTGGGGGCAGTGCCACCATAGGTGAATGTATGTGCCCTGTTCGCCGCACCCCTTCCAACATCGGTCAGAAGTGGCAGCGCACATTTTCTTCATTCATAGGGAGGTGAGATACCAGCGGAACATGGTCTTATACGCTTGTTCTTTGTGAGTTACGCATATGGAGATAGCCGCTGTGGCTTCCCATATGCTCTGCCAATCGGATGGGTCCTCGGGTGGGCCTATATCCCTCTCCCAGGCTGTGGTGTATGATAGCGCATTGGGGGTGTTGGTGAGGTGTAAGATCCCATAGATTGTAGAGATCTGTCCCCTTTGTACCGGCATATTCATGCACCTTTTTTCAAAGGGTGTATGTGTGGCAGTGGCTGATGCCTGGTTAGTTGGGTGGTTTAGGAAGCTGCAAATTTGCAGGAAGCGGAAATGGTCAAAGGTGGTGTATGCGGTGGTGTTTGGGAGGTTTGCAAAGGGCAGGAGGCGTTGTCCTTGAAAAAAATGAAAGAATCGGGACAGGTTGTTCTCCTTGTATCTCGCAAAGTGTTGGGGGGTCATTCAGGGAAGGAATTGTTTATTTCGGAGGAGTGGCGTTAATGGGGAGAGGATGTTAATTAGGGTGTGTTTTCTGGTTTATGAAATAGAAAGGTTAACAGCGCTAACAATATATAAAAAATATATATTACATACGTGGTAGAAGATACTTGTCAATGATATAGCTTTAAAAAGAACAAAATAGAATAATAGAGCAATATATTATAACAGCGGAGTAAATATAGAAGGAATATATGATCCAAACTCACACTTTAGAGAGCTATATAAGCTCAATTGGAAGGGCCTGGACGGAATAATCCCCGTCTGTGGATTTCTTGATATGGGATCTTCCTGGTAGGCTTATAGAGATGGACTTTCACAGTATATAAGACAGGAAAGAAAAAGAACACTAATAGTGTAAATAGTACATGTAGGTATATTGCAGATAAAAATAATCCTACTTACATATACTAGAGCAATAGACCTGCTCTAGTGTGAACAGGTTCAGGTGGAACAATCCCCACCTAAGGATATAAAGGACCCAGAGGTAGCAGCAGCAAGATGAAGTAGGAAGTAGGACTGGGAGAGACTGGATTTACATAAAATGTATATACTTTAATTTGATAAAATTAAAAGTGGAAAAACAAATGTAAATATATTTACAAAATACCAGTCTGAATAAAAAAGTCCGTATTTCTTCCTCACTAGACGCGTTTCGCCGTGGCTTTTTCAAAAGTGAATACTTGCTGCAAGGGGTCCTCGAGGTTATAAACCTTCTATAATTGTAGAAACGGATTCCGGTATGTGTAGCTTGTCATTTCCGGTTTCGTCGCGATGACGCAAGCGGAAGTCCTCCGGGCGCCATTTTGTATATGGGCAAGGTTCGTAAATGCCCAAAGGATGGCACAATAGTGTGTAGAACAGAGATTTTGCATTAGATAAGTCTGTTAGCATAGATAATAATACAGTATATGCAAAAGTGGATATTAAAACAGAGTGTAACATCAAAAAGCATTATATTATTTATGTATGTGTAATCACTTTCAAACAGACATCTGGGCTCAATATTGATATGGTCATATATACATTTTGAACCTAATTAAAAAAATAAATAAAACACCATAAAAAGATTATAGTTTTTTAGTATATGTTAAAAAATTGCAGTAGATATACAGAAGTTAAAAATATTAAAATGATGAATAAATTATAAAAAATGAATTAAATCAAATTCTATATTGAGTACATTTGGATGAAGGGTGTCTAAACGGTGAACACATTCCATTTCTAATTTTCCTATATTTTTAATAATATCACCCCCTCTCCAGTGTGAATTGTATTTTGCAATTCCCACAAATTTCAAAAGGCTGGGATCTTTATTATGCTGTAGAAAATGTGCAGATATAGAGTGGTTTGTGTACCCCTTTTCAATATTGCGACAATGTTCACCAATTCGTATTTTTAGTGGACGTATAGTTCTCCCGACATATTGTAGTCCACAAGGACATTCTAGTAGATAAATCACATTATTGCTATTGCACGTAATAATTTCATTTATATTAAAAGTTTTTTTTTTTTTATTTGATTTAAAATTTAAAGTGCATTTGTCCATTTTATGCTTTCTTTTTTACATGTGATACATGTATTGCACCTATAAAAGCCTGTATTAATAGTTAAAAAAAATATGTTTGCATGTATTTCCATTTTTTGTAAAAATTTTTGTAAGTTGTAGTTTTAGGTTGGGTGCACCTCTAAATATTATAGTGGGTTTCTCAGGTAGAGATTTGTTTAGTATTGGATCTTCTTTAAGTAGATGCCAATTTGTATTAATAATTTTTTTAATATCCTTGTTTTTATTATTATAATCAAAGATGAGAGGGAGAGTAAATTTGTTTGTCTGAGAATCTTGAGGGGGCTTTTTATTTAGTAGTACTTCTCTTTGTGTTTTATCAATAGATGTTATTGTCTTATCAATTTTTTCAGTATTATAGCCCTTTTGTATGAACTTTTGTTTCATATGTAAGGCTTGTGCTTGGAATACCAAAGGTTCTGAACAGTTTCTTTTGAGCCTGAGCATTTGGCTTTTAGGTATTCCATTTAGCCATGTTGGATTATGGCAACTATCATAGCTAATAAAGGTATTAGTATGTACTTCCTTGAAGTGAGTTTTTGTATATAGTCCATTTTCCTTAATGTAGATCTCCAAATCTAAAAAGGTAACTGTCTGTTCACTTAGATGGGAAGTTAAAATGATCCCTTCATTATTGTGGTTTAAATGATCTATAAATAGTTCAGCTGAAGACATGGAGCCTTCCCAAATAAAGAGGAGGTCGTCTATACACCGATGGTATGAGACCAGGTTTCCGCACCAGCTATGCCCTTCCCATATAGTTCATATGTGTTTTCTGGTTATTCTGTCCCAGCATTGGATTGAGTGAGTAATTGCCGGTGATGTGGGGGGGATTCGTGGTCTCTCTTGTTTGTGTAGCCATAGGTATAAGGAAGGGAATTCGAGGCCGAAGAGGTCATGTTCTATGTCCACCCATAGCTTGAGCCCCGCCTGGGCATGGAGGTTTTGGATCTGTGCTAATTGGGCAGCTTTGTGACAGTCCCAGAAGTTATGTGGGATATAAAGAGTTGCTTTTTTGATCCTGGCTCTTTTGCTCGCCCATATGAATTTGTCTATTTGGGATTGTAAGGTTTTGAAGTCCAATCTAGAGATGGGTATAGGTAGAGCCTGGAATAAATCTAAAACAAGTGGGAGTAAATTCATTTTGACTGACGCTAGTTGCCCCAGCCAGGAGATTGACAGATTTTGCCATGTTTCCAGGTCTAAGCTGCCCCGTTCTAGTAGTGGGAGGTAGTTGAGTCAGTATGTGAGTTCCAAATCTCATGGCATGTGTGTGCCTATGTATTGTATGCTTTGTGTTTCGTAGCGGAACGGGTATATCCTTTGTAATGTTAGTAACATGTCATTGGGGATGTGGATTGGTAGGGCCTCGGTTTTACTGAGATTTAGTTTGTAGTCCGATAAGGCTGCGTATTCGTCTAGGAGGGCTAGCAGTGGTGGTAGGGAGGTGTCGGGGTTTGTCAGTGAGAGCAGTAAGTCGCCCGCGTAGGCCGCTATTTTATATTCGTCTTTTATGGTCGCTGTCTGACGGATTTTTTGGAGGAGGGGTTCCAGTGATAGGGCCATTGTAGATAGTGAAGGAGAGGGGTTGTGCGTCGTGGATTAGGAGGTTCACTGTGGGGTGGGAGTATATACCTCTGATGGTATCTATAAAAAACTCTGGGAACCCCATCCTTTGGAGGGTGGTGAACAGGTAGGACCAAAGGATTCGGTCAAATGCCTTTTCGGCGTCAAGGGAGAGGAGAAGGGTGGGCTGACATCGGTGACTGGCCATCCAAATCAGGTCGTATATTCTCCTGGTGTTGTTGCACACTTGTCGGTGTGGGATAAAGCCGACCTGGTCTGGGTGGATTAATTTGGAGAGGAAGGGGTGAAGCCGATTCGTTAAGATGTTTGTGAATAGCTTGATATCGGTGTTTAATAGGGATATTGGTTGATAGTGGCCTGGGTTCTGGAGGTCCTTGTGGGGTTTGGGGAGTAGGCATATGTTGACTCTGAGCATGTCCGGGGGTGGGGTTTCCCCTCCCATTAGGGACGTGAATAGGGTGAGGAGATGTGGTAGGAGTATTGTTGAGAAAGTCTTGTACTATAGTCCGGAGAATCCGTCTGGTCCTGGGCATTTGTTGGGTTTCAGAGTGTTCATGGCTAGTGCTATTCCTTCTAGTGTTATGGGTGTGCTTAGGGCCTGTTTTCCTGCCTCCGTGAGGGTGGGCATGGGGATTCGGTCTAGGTAAGTCTCTATTTTGGCCTGTATGGGAGATGGATTTTGTCGTGCGTCTGGGTTGTGGTCATGTAGGTAGGAATAGTATTCTTGAAAGGTATTTGCTATTTACTCCGGGATGGTGCATGTGTTGCCGTCTGGGGTTCGGATCTGGGTTATGTGTTTGGTGCGGGTTTGCTTACGGAGTTTATGGGCCAAGAGTGTGTCAGCTTTGTTTGATTTCTCATAGAACATCTGTCTGGTCCATTGTAGGGCCTTTTTCAAATCTTGTGCCATGAATTTTTGTATCTGTCTGTGTTTTTTGCAGTTGTGTCATGAGGGCGGGAGTTGGGTTCGCTTTGTGTTGGAGTTCCAAGGCTCTGAGGGCAGTCAGGTGTGTTTCCAGCAGTTGTAGCTGTTGTTTTCTATGTGCCGTGGCCGCTGCTATCAGCCTGCCCCTTATGACTGTCTTGTAGGCCGCCCATAGAGTGCATGCGGATGAAACAGAGCCTTTGTTGGTGCCGAAGTAGTCAGTGATCTCTGTTTGAATTTTGTTTTGGATTGTTTTGTCGTGGAGGTGTATGGGGTTGAGTCTCCAGGACCACGTCCTTGTCGTTTGTGGTATAGTGATAGTGAGGGTAGTTTCTGCGTGGTCCAACCAGGTGATCGGGCCTATTGTTGCATTTGTGATGTGGGGGAGTAGGGAAAGGGATATAAGGAACTATGCATGAATAGGAGGAGTGTAGGTTGGAGTAAAAAGTGTAGTCCACGGTCTGTCAATCTCTCGTGACAGGGTTGCATTGTGATTAGGTGATGTGCAGAGAAGAGGCAGAGGTGTTGTCTGGCTTACGAAGGCTGCGTCTGGGGGTAGCTGGGCGGTCTTGGGTCGGGGCCTCCCTGTGGGGGCGCCCGGTGTGCTGTGAGTGGTGCGGTCCTTCTATGTGAGTCTGTCCAGTGAGGGAACCGCTTGTCAGTTGGGATTCTGGTTCTCTGGGTCACCCTCTATTTCTCCCTGTCCCTGAATGTCCCTGGAGGTTTGTCCTCAGGTGGGAAGGGTCCGGGGTGTGCCATGATGTTCTGTAGCAGGTTGTGTGTAAGTCGGGGTGGGTGTCCAGGGGTTATTCATATAGCTAGCCTGACGCCTCTATGTCAGTCGACGTCAGGGCGTTCCTGTCTGGTTAGGGGGTGTACCCGGGGTTGCTGGCGTACATGTGGGTCAGCCCGGGGGTGTGTGCTTAACACAGCTTGGAGGCTGTCCCGGCCAATTCACCCTCTCGGTGATGGGGGCAGTGGAGGGGGACGTATGGGTTGATCTTTGACCTTCAGGCCTCATTTTGAATACTTACGCCCCGTTGGCCTGTTCCGGCTTGTCTTGTGAGTGGTCATGGGGCGGTCACGAGGGAGGGTTCCCCCTGAGTCCTTGTACCCAATTGTGCTATGATCTAGAGATCCATTGTGACATTATATTACATCATTATATATCGCTTTTATGCATCATATACATTATGCCATAAAAGAAACAGTAGAGGTGCATTATATAGATTGGTCAGCGAGAATTAGCAAATTAGCAAATTCGTGGAACTATAGGATCGTGGTCAGAAAGTAATATGCGTTAGATGGTATGTTTTGCCCTCTTGTCCCTGGCTGTGTCCGATAGTGCCCACATGCCTCTGGGGGTCTTGGAGTGTCTCTGTAAAACTTGCGACTGGTAAAGCGAGTGCAAGCTTATAGAACGAGTCGGGGTGTACAGGCCCGGTGGGCAAAGTTACTTTGCGTTGGGGTGTCCCTTTTATTGATTTATTGGCGTGTGGGCCTTGTGAAAAAGCCCCTTTGTTCAGGAGGGATATGTGCTCCACAGTCCCAGGGTCCAGTGCAGGTAGAATGGACAGGAAGGGCCCTGGAAAGTGGGAAGGTGTGACCGTGGGCTTTGACCATGGCGGTGTCCCCTGGAGTGGTCCCTTTCCCAGGTAAGTGGATGGATGGGGTGGGAGAGTTTGGTATTACACACCCGGTCTTGGAGTGTCAAGATGCAGCGATTGTCCGTCTCGGGTTCTCGGGGTGTGGGCCTAGTCCTGGTGATTAGTCCCGTCTTTCGGTTTGCGAGGGCGCTCTTTTGCGTGGTGTGCGGCATGGAGATCTTGAGTACCTCTCTCTGAAGTCAGGGTTTGCCGACGGCGCCTGGGCCTGTCATCGGTGGTGGTGGCAGTAGGGTGAGGCCCAGTGAATCTGCAAACGGTGCCATTTCAGCCGGGTTTGTCAGAATGTAGGTTTGGTTTTCTTTTCATACTATTAGTTTAAATGGGTGTGTTACAAAAGACTCGAAATGACTGTGTTACTGTTAATACCGATTGCTACTGTTACAACTCTATACGTTTAAGCCGAGGAAAACACGAATGGATTACACAAACTCTTATAAAGACTCCATTCGTGATACGAACGAGGGACCCCCCAAATGCTGGCGTGTGCCGCCACTTAACCTCGTCAACCCGCAAAGTACCGAACGGTCGACCACCCGACCAGCGGAGTGTGGCAGCCATTAACCACCCAGGCGGCTGCGGTCTGCGGTTAACCACAGACTAATTGATGTTCCTGGGGGGGGATCGACGTTCGCACACAAAGCACCGATGGGAACCTACCGAACAACCACACGAACGGAGACCCCCTACAGTGGGTCGCGTGACGGCCATTAGCCTGTGGTTTCTGCGGTTAACCGCAACTCAAGTACCATGCTACCAGGTGGTCCTCATTCAAGTACCGAACGAGTTCCACTACCAGACAGACAGCGGGGCTTCGCATGAACTGACACCCGGGTTTAGTTCCATAAGTTGGAAGCGAGGTCCCGCTGCCCGCTAAACCGTCTGAAAACATGGCCGCCAGAGACGCACGATCCAAAATGCCAAAGGACTTTATACGGCAGAAATAGCCCATTCTGTTCGTGGGATTAGAGCGCCATTCGTATGTTTAATGTATCCGAACGCGAGCTATTAAATGAATGGTAGAATGAGCTGTTTTCCTTTATTAATGTTAAAGTTATGGATTTTTATGCAGTTTTCTGGGATATAATAAAACCTGGTCTTTTGTGCGCTTGGAGATAATTAGATTGTATAACCGTTGGCCTCATTATCTCCAAGCTGGGTGGGTACTAATTGAAATGATACACTGTATTGTGATTGGTTACTTGTCGGTACTGTACCTGTATTCCATCAGGCCCACAGGGGGCTGTCTTTGTACCTGAGGAATCACATAAATTGCCATGTTGTGTGCCAGTAAAGCCAGTTCGTTTTGACCCTCAACTTGCAGCCTCGACTCATGTTGTAGGGATCCGGGATATTGATGCTTATACCGTGCTTGGGAATATTCTACACTTGCAGCTTACTACCGAAAGACCTCTGTTCGACTCTCTACAGCGGGAACCAGGACTTCTAAGCGATCAACCCCTCTGCTAGACCGGGGGCAATTGTAACAGGGTGCCCCCCATGTATCGAATGCCATGATTGTTTAGTGTGAGGGTCAGCTGCCGGAGATCCCTCCATTTTTTTCAGGGTGGATGGGGCGAGATCTTGGTAGAATGCCAGGCGAGTCTTCTGGTATTGTGGTGGATAGGTTCTGGCAAGGCTGAGGATCTTCTCTTTAATTGTGAAGAAATGCAGCCTGATCATGTCATCTCTGGGGGTCACTTGGTTCAGTGCAGGCGGTCAAAGCGCTCTGTGTGCCCGGTCTATAAGGAGATCTTGCGTTGAGGCTTTGGGCAAAATTGTTCTGAACAGATCAGTAAGTGTGGTATGTAGGCTGTCTGCTGTGACCGTTTCGGGTAGGCCCCGGATCTGAATGTTATTTCTTCAGGATCTATTGTTTAAATCTTCCAAGCTTTCCTCCATGGCCTCGATTTTAGCATGGAGGTAGGTGATGTCCTGATAGTGTGCTTGAGTGGAGGCTGTAAGATCTTTGATGCATGTCTCTGTGTGGTTGGACCTGTTCATCAGGGCCTTGATAGCTTCCCTCATGCCTGAGAGCCGTTTGTCTAATTCTGTCACCATGTGGCACTTGATGTCCGTTGTGGCCTCCCTTAGCATAGTTTGCATGTCGTGCAGAGTTAGGGGGGCATCCGAGGTTTTGGCATATTCACTTCCATCGGAGTCTGTGCCGTTTTCCTCCGTTTGTTGGTGGCAAGATGGCCGCCATTGTTCTTGTTGTGGGCGGAACATCGTGGCAACCGAAGGTGTCTGATCCTTTATCGGTTTTCCACCCCCCATTGCTCTGAGTTGTTGCTTACTGAGCGGGGTGGGTGGTGAGAGTTCTGTGAGGATGATTAGTCGGCGGATTCAGTTTGCTGGGAAGAGGGAGCTACAGGATTATGCTGTCATCTTCCAGAATGGTCATGCTCCACCCCCCCAAAAGTATGTAATTAAACAGAAAATTACAGACTTCTCAATACTCTTTTAAAGAGTCTGCATAGTCTTAAGCGTAAAAGCAAAATCTTGAATTCAAATGCTAAGTTAAACCTTCATTTAGGTTTGATTGCTATTGAGATGCTCCATGTAAAACCATGTGATTTTGTATGTCAGTATCTGTGTGTCAGGCTGTGTATGTGTGTGTATATCTATGTGTGTGTATATCTATGTGTGTGTGTGTGTGTGTGTGCAGGGCTGCCATCAGAAATGTTGGGGCCCCTGACACAGCTCAAGGTCTGGGCCCCCCGGTGCCTGCACCCGAGTCCGCCCAAAGTGCTGCCCCCCCCCGAATCCCATCACAATGGGACATCACAATGCCCCACCCATATGATCTGCCATGTTAACCAACACCAGTGCTGCAGTGCCGCCGTGTTTACATTAAAAGGCCTGCAGGGACAGGCTAGACACCAGAACCACTACATTAAGCTGCAGTGGTTCTGGGGACTATAGTGTCCCTTTAATGTGAGGTAAATTAGAGATTAGTGCCACAAATAATATACTAGATTGCCTACTTACAACCAGATGAGGATGATGATGGGCTCTAGCTGCCGTCTGGCTCCACTGGTCTGGTGTACAACAGGCTCTCTGGAGGCGGTTTGTAACTGTGGTCACAAAAATCACTGTTCTGGGAGAACGGGAAGCAGCTCCATTTTTTTGAGGGCCCTTTACACAGCTCAAGGTCTGGGTCCCAGGGTCCACCTTCATGTTCCACCAATGAGTTTGTTCACAGGGAGTGGAGTGTGTGTGTGGGGGATGTCCTGATGTGTGTAAGGAATGCATTGTGTGAATCTGTGTTTGTATGTGTAAGGGCTGCAAGATGAGTTTGTGTATGTATGTGATGCAGTGTGTGCGTCTGTAAGGGATGCATTGAGTGTGTCTAAGGGGTGCATCGTGTGTTGCTGTGTGTCTGTGTGTAATGCATTGTGTGTTTTTCTGTGTGCAATGGGTGCATTGTGTGTGATGGATGTCAATCTCTCCCCCTCCCCCCCGTCAATTTCCTTCTCCCCCCCTCTCCCTCCAATTTCCTTCTTCTCTCCCTCCCTCTCATTTCCTTCTCCCCCCCTCCAATTTCCTTCCTCTCCCCTCCAATTTCCTTCCTCTCCCCCGTCCCTCAAATTTCCTTCCTCTCCCCCGTCCCTCAAATTTCCTTCCTCTCCACCCGTCCCTCAAATTTCCTTCCTCTCCCTTGATCCCCTCAAATTTCTTCCTCTCCCATCCCTCAAATTCCTCTCTCCCTCCCTCCCTCAAATTTCATTCCTCTCCCCCCCCTCAAATTTCATTCCTGTCCCCCCTCCTCAAATTTGAATTCCTCCCCCTCCCATAAGTAATTTCTCCCCCTCCCACACATTTTATTTTCCCCCCCTCCCATTTCATTTCCTCCCCTCCCATAAATTTCATTTCTTCCCCACCTCCCATTTAATTCCTCCTCCCCGACGCAGCCGGCGGAACTGAAGCCTTGTATGAGGAGCACTCTCTGTGTGCTTCCTCTTCAGCTCCATAACTTATACTGATGTAGGAGCGGAAGATGGCGTCAATAAGCTCCATCAGTAAGGTCTTGTGAGGAAGCTGAGCCTGAAATCTCACCAGCAGCAACCATCCCTTGGTGTTAATCCTTTCAAGACACCAGCCTCTGGGGGGCCCTGAGGTGACCGGCTTCTGGGCCCCCCTGGAGAAGAGGCTGGCCCAGTGGGTACATACCGGGTCGCAGGGCCCCCTGTGACCCGGTATGTACCCACTGAATGTGGGGCCCGGACGACCTTAGCAGTCCGGGCCCCCCACGACCGCTGGGCCCATGACAACCATTGCGGTTGTCATGCCCTGATGGCGGCCCTGTGTGTGTGTATGAGTCAGTGGGAATCTGAATGCGTGTGTGTCAGTGTGTTTATATGGTTGTATCTGTGTGTGTTAATGTGTATATATGTATGTTCAGTTTAATCTTTGTAAGTATGTATGTGCAGTGTATGTGTGTATGTGCAATCAAACACTCCCTGCAGTCAAACACAATCATTACATACAAACACATTCAAACTCCAAACTATTATACAAACAAACCCCTTTATTCAAATACCAATACTACCCACAATCGTACACCAACAATTAAAAGCCAATGCTACATACAAACACCCCTGCAGTCAAACTCAAACATTACATACAAACACACTCCTGTATTAAAATTCTAAAATTATATAAAAACACCCCTACATTTAGAATCCAAGACTACAAACAAAAGCACAAATGCATTTAAAAGTCAGAATTACATGCAAACATACCTCTGCATTCAAGCACAAACACAAACACTAGTAAACACTTTATTTCAGTACACCCCTACATGCACACACATACTCTATATCACAACATGCTTACATTCAAACACACAAATTTGGCTCACAAATACAAGGATGGGCAAATGGTAAATCTCCAGCTGGCATAACATTGCTGCATCTACCTTTTTGCTTCAGAGAGGGGCTCAAACTTAATTCTTATTGCAGGGCCCTTTCTACATTAGTTCCGCTACTGATTTCAGGGATAGCAAAATAATAACAATAAAGAAAATATCACAACTTTCAAAAACTAACTCTTGATTTGAATATTTGTAATGAGGTCTGAAAACTGAGAGTGGAAGTGCATCCACTTCACAGAATGTAGATATCACAATACATTCCATAGAGGCAAGATACCATCTAATTAAAAGTACAAAACTGATAAAATAAAATAACAAAACATATAAAAACATTTGCTTCAGTAATTGTAGATTATGCTAGCTTTAGTATACCAATAAACTTAATTTTATTAATGACAGGAGGAGAGTATTTGCTTAAGTCTCCCTTTACTAGAACTCCACAGCAGCACAGATAAAACTCCCCTCCCCATACATCATTTCCTCTTTCAAGCTGAGACAATACAGAACAAAAGTCAGAAAATAAAGGGGAAGAAACGAAGTCCTAGATATGAGTACGATCATGTCCACCATCCAGGAAGAACTGTCGGACCAGATAGTGTTGATGGACTGTAAACTGAAACGAGAGAAAAACAGAACGAACGGGCTGGTTAGCCAATGAAATGTACTTCGAACAAACATGTAGATACCCAATGAAGCCCAAAAGTACCGTAACCTGTATGGATTCCAACCTACTATGAAAAAAAAGACATAAGAACAAGAGACAGGTATCAGAGACAACAAGCAGAGTTGCATACGCATCTGATGAACCCCTATTATAAAATGAAATGAGGGAGGGATACAAAAGGGTGTGAAATACTCGCCTCCTGTCATTAATAAAATTAAGATTATAGGTACACTAAAGCCAGCATAATCTACAATTTTATAACATGACAGGAGGCTTTGTATTTGCTGTTTTAACGCTCAGCCGACAAATCCAACGCTGTTTGTTTCGCTGGTACCTGTAGACGGATCGATGAAGATGCCAGCTGACGAAGCATCCAAAATACGGAAAAACATCCTCCGCTGATAGATCCATTGTACGTGGGGTTGCGACCTGTTTCCTAGCATCCGGTCCATGAGCTGCTAAGCTGACCTATCAGGCATTTTCCTGTAAGTGTAGAATGCCGAAGGTCATTTGTGGACTTAGGGCCGCGAGAAGAAACTGCCACCATGTCTTGACTCTTGATGTGGAAGGTGGCTACTCTAATCGTGCCAGGGTCACCAGGTGATGTGGCCTTGCAGGCAAACCTCCAACCTCAAGGCATGTGCCTAAGTCCACCACCACCTCCGTAATAGTACCGAGTAGGGTCCTTCGTTCCCTCATGACCTACCCGGTGAGTTGTCTCATCTAAGTGTAAATTTATTATGCAGGCAAGAGTGTGGAATAACTTAAGATACGGCTAGTTTGAGCAGTCTTCCAAATGGACTGTGTAATCCACACTCCTAAAGGACGTCCAATCAAGGTCCCAAACTGAACTTGTGTGGTGGAACGGTGGTCGACTAATCTGGGGATTGTGAATCCCGGAAATATTCAAAAGGATGGGAACGTAAACAGAGGTTGAGATTTCCATCCAGATATTTAATCGTCTAAGAGTGATATGATGTCCGGATCCAAAGGTGATTGGACCTGTATAACCAATAAGAGTCTTTACGTGCTGTAGTGAGAGAGTGAAATATTCTGATTACCCGTTTGTACGATCCTGTTCAATGCCCGACCTGTCAAAACTCGTGTAGGGGTTCCTGGTCTACACGCCACCTACAAGATAGGGTTTAATATAGTCTTTAGGTCCCTGCATCCCTGACTGTCCGGGCATGTATCTCCCAGAGTAGGCCCTAGGTCAAGGGACCCAGGAGTATGAATTCGAGAGCCGAAGTCAAGGCCTGCTTCTTTGGAGATGTGTCGCCACCGGGTTGGTGTAAACCGTGGTTGCGTGCCCGGGAATCTTCATAAAAGCTTTGCCCTTTACGGCATGTGGTGTAGGGCCTTCACCCTTCCAATCATATTTAGGTGTCCTTATTCTGGTGTCCTCTTGGACAGTATGGCAGCAGTGCTTGCCTGGACATCCACCTATCTCCATGTCAATAGTGGGTACCGAACTTCCTCAGTGATATTCCCCCAGGCCTGTGGTCAAAAGGGGGTTCGGGCATGGATAGGTCCAGCCAACAATGGGCACAGGTAGTGCAGGCCAGACAGAAGGGCACAGATATAGCAGGCCAATCAATGGGCCACAGCCATAGCAGGCCAATCAATGGGGCACAGACATAGCAGGCCAATCCTGGGTTGCGTATTAAATGAGTAATGGGGACTCCTGAG